AACAATCAGAGCTTTTGCTGAAATAAAGCTCAGCTTCAGCCTGGAAACACATATTAAGATACATGAATAAGAAAGCAAAATATTTAAAAAAAATCTACCACGGTTCTGTCCAATGGGCAGTAATGAAGAACTTAGCTTATTAACTCCTCTCTGAGAGTCCAATTCACTACTGTACATTTGCATCCATCAGTAAGACTTCTCTTAGGAAAATAGTAAACAGTATTTTTCTGTTTCATAGGTAAGATTATTTTTTTAAATGAAAACACAGGGCTTGGATAGGTACAGGTATATATGTATATGTATATATTTTCTGTGTGAATGTTTGGAGCCTTTGAATTTAGTACATGCAGTAAACTGTTACAGTAAACACTTACAGCAATATATAGCAGTCACAGTTCCCAGACACTAAAACAGAAATGAACTGCAATAAACACCAGCTTTTAATACTGGGAATCAAAGCTTCATTTATATCTGTCATCTGAACTCTGTCTGGAAGTGATAGTCATTTATTCTGTAAATCTATTCCAGTAACATTTTCTGAAACACTTGAAGAAGCTTTATATTGCATTAACACAAGTATCTTCCTCCAGAAGAAGAAAAAAAAAAGAGATTACATTTCTTAAAAAATGTCATCAGAGATCCTTTATTTTCAATTGTCTCTCTATTACTACTATTGGTTGTTCTATAATGTTTTCCAAAATTACCTATATATTCATAACTTTGAGACAGGTATAATTTAAAGAGAATCATAACATAAAGTTTGAAAATTTTACATAACTATATAGTCTAGCATAATTCTAGGAAACTCCCTATTGGAGGATTACTTTTACTAATTGATACAATTTCATTATAGCCTCCCTTGAAAGCCAAAGCTGCACAGCTCAGAGTTATTTCATGGCTGCCAGTCTGCTCTCAGAGAGTCAAACTCCTCCTGCCTACACCTTTATTCTGCCATTTCCTGTTTCACCTTGGTTACACTGAATGGCAGAAAGTTCTGATGAGCCTCAGGGCAGTACATCCCTACCTGCTCTCTGTCCCTGTGGCATCATGTAATAGTGCACTTATAAACACAATGCTTAAAAAATGATGCACATAAATAGCAGAAGGATCTGGGCCAGATTAACTGGGTTAAAGCCACATATCCAAAATCTCAGCGCCTCTGAGCATGCACAGAAATATTGCATTTTCCACAATGATAAGGATTATTGCAAGTATTTGGTCTTTAATAATATCCAATTGCCTGGTGCTGCCTGTATCAATAATCTTGAATATAAGCAGAATTTAACACCTGTTTCCAAAATGACATAAAAGGTAATTTGCCTGATGCCCCCATTTCAAATTTAGTTCTACCAAGTTAAATAATCCTCTTTCCTTGTGGTGTACGATGTTCACATTAAAATATAAAAATTTTAAAAGAATAAATAATATTCTTGCCATAAATATAGCATTTTAGACTGTAGACAGTCAGATATATATGCCAATGAAACTAATGTTATGGTGCAATTTTTTGCATTTCTTAATTCTGAACATTTTTAAAACAGTAATGTAGGTCTCTGAGATGAGGAACATGGCAGTATATAATATCCTGTGAAAGATTCTGTCTTGTCTTGATGTAGTGATTTCAATAGTTTTGAGAAGGTATATGAACTATCTCTAAAATACGCTTTCGAAAGCTCTCTCTATTCCTTGCATGTATTAGATCATCCTTTTGGTATTTTAAAATAAAAATAGATCCAGTTAGAAAGATGGCAGAACACATTTGAGTAAATTTCAATCCTATGAAAAAATCATAAGCTTAAAATTTACTCACAAACCCATACATTTTAAGAAGTGTCAGCATGACCACAATAATGAAGTAATCCATGCAGCTGGAGCACCAACAAGGACAAAACCCAGCAGGACAACTGAATGACACTAGAGCATGCTAAATATGTAAAAGCAGGGCATTCAAAGGTGTTATAAATCTACAAATAGGTGATGATAAGTAGGAGGTCAATTAAAGAAAAACTACCACAGTAAGAACAGAAACAGTGCCTCTGAGTGACTAGTACAGGGATGTTCTTGCAGAAGAAATTGGATTGCTTTGTCTGCCACACTGCAGAGTTCTCTGCTGCTGTTAGGCAGCTCCAGCTGCAGCAATACTGCATCTGCAGAACTATGCAAATTCTGAAAATAAAATATAAGTTACACCACGTAATTTAGTAGTTACTGCTACTTGTATTTGCCAAGTATATAATCCATTATTGCCCTATTTAAACAACTTCCTTCAATCACTTTCTCCTTGCTTTTCAAAACAAATCCATCTTCCCCAGAAGCATGTCTTGCAAAAGGGGAATGACAGCTGAGCTTCATAGGTGCTTTTAGGGAAGCAGACTACACTTAAAGGCTGTTGATGTCAAGATGAGTGTGGGTTATACCTAAAGTGAAAATCAAACCATGATGTTAGCTGCCAGGTGTGAGTAGCTATGAAATTTGTGTGTCACAGGGCAGGAATGAGTAAAGAAAATGTCTGCCAGGCTTCCAAGCAGTCCATCTCTATGGCTTTCCCTCCCCACCAGTGGAAATTCAGAAAAATTTCAATTATCTGTTGAAATTAATCTGAATTTCAGCAGACTAAATACAACAATTTCCATTCTTGAAATTCAGCTTTTCCCAGACAAGAACAACTGTGATTTGGACCAGGATGGTGGCAGGTCTGTGCGGACTGCATGGGGCTGGACATTGTTAGACTCGTCTGCAGCCTTCTAAAGAAGCAGGGAGGTAAAAAGAACATTTTGCTTAGCATAGAGCATTGAGAAGGTCCATCATTCTTTCAACAACCTTTTATGTACAACTTAATATCCACAGTTCATCTATACAAAGTCATGTCATTTTACTCACCTAATCAGTAACATATGCACAATAAGTACTTGCAAGAAACAGTCCTAGACTGTAATCTCTGAGTTCTGATTCAAATAAAACAATCTTTAATGTCTGTATTATACAATATAAGCCATATTTGTATGCTAATTAACTATGAAGGGGAGTATCAGAATCAATACAAAATTCAATAAATCTTGGTACATAGTTCTATAGATTATATTATAACAGATAACACAGCATTCTATAATAATAAAAATTTAAAAGGAACAAAGCTATTTTTTTACAAGCCACCTCTTTCAGTTCTATATCCCTCTCTATGTTATATACACAGACTGCACAAAGCTGTTCTCATTTCTTTTCTTTTGCTTGTTGAAGGCTATTGACACTTAATAGAATGGCTATATAAAGTGTTCAATAGGAAAAACTGTAAAAAAGAATAGTGTCAAAAAACTAAAGAGTGTAAGCACTTGTATCAATGAGTATTTTTAACGAGAATGAAAGAAAGTAGAAAAAACAGTAACAGTCCTGATTTTTAAGTTATCCTGTTTTTACCTAGTAGTTTAAAAAACAGAACCACCTCTTGCCTATGATTTAGGACATCAAAGCCCTAATGCATATGCAAAATAGAGAAAAATTTCCTAATCTAGTAACCAGAGGAGACAGCAGAGATGGTTTATGATATTTTTTTCACCATGATTCTTAAAAGTTAATACCTGAATGAAAGACATGAAATAGCATCCTCACTTGCTTTCAACCTTATGAATTTCTGTTTTGCAAAGAGGCATATTTTCACACACAAGAGTACATGCCCTCATTTGGAAGGACACCATAGTTATGACTAGGAAAATTTCTGATGAAACACTGTACAGAAAGACAAGAGAGGAGACATTGTTTCTTTGTTTTTCAGGGGTTTGTCAAAACAGTGGCCAGGGTTTTCTTTCTCCTGCAGGATTTAGACCCACAACCATTTGCTAAATGTACTTAGAGAACATATTCCAAACAAAATGCTGTGGGGAACTTGAAGGGTGTGAAGATTTATTTCTTCATCAAGCTTGGACAAGGAGATAACATTCAGCTGCTGCTCTAAATAAAAATGGTGGCAGGTCTCTGCCAGGATAACAAATTGAATTTTGTGTTCAGAGTAAGTTTTACTGGCAAAACCTTAGATGCCTGGGACTTGGGGCAGATAATTCATTAGACAGTGGGTTTACTGTTGTACTGTTGTAACTTTGAGTGGGATGTGTGCTCATTAAGGGGTTAGTGGTGGAGGTGAGTGCAGGGTTCAGATCTCATGGATCTTTAACTAATGGTCTAGTGGGTTAACACCAGCTTTCAAGGATAGTGTTTAAACAAGCACATGAACATTAATTGGCCTTTTCTACAAACTCTAGGGAAAAAAAGTCATATGTTAAAAGCCATATATAATGTCCTCCGGAATCTAGGACATGCACATCCTATGACTGAAATTATATTCTCTCCCTAAAGACTTCATTACCTACAAATGCAATTCACCTCTGTTTTCCTTTGCTTTCCACTTTGCCATGTTCAAACCTATCATACTCCAGAACAGAATCCTAATGTACACCACTGCCCCTGAATGGCTTTTTTTTCAATCAATACATGACCAACAGCAATGTGAAAATGCAAAAGTGAAATCAATTGAGGTTTTTAAATGCATTCAGAAACAATGTTTTCCAGTATTTTTCACAATCTCTTGTAGAGTAAATGTGGCACCAGCTCATTCATATTTGTAACAAGATTAATGGAAGTTCCAAAGTCACAAGTAAGACACAATCAGCATATCTCCCCACTTCCCAATCCTGTATTTTCCTGCAGATCATCTTTCTTAGTATACTGTTTCAGCATTCAGGGTGTGACAACTCACTCCAAATAAGCTGTCAAGTTTAATTGAACTACTCTGAAAAAAAAAATAATCTTCCATTAAGAAAATGCTTTAAAAGCATAAAAGAAAGCAAGATATCTGTCTCTCTAGGGATTTTGTCTTTTTTTTTTCCTGTATGGAAAAAATTAGATAATTTCCTGTTGAAATTATCTAAAATGGTCACCCTGAGTAAGGAAGAAAGCAAAATCAGCACAAACACTTCCTTAGGATTTGAAAAGGCATAGAGGCAGTTTACCTGCAATTGTCAACATTACTTCTTCCCACAGCACTAGAGAAGTTGAAAGGTCCGATGTTATTGATTTCTACGACTTTTATACAGCCAGTGAAATTGTAGACAGGTCCAGAAACCTACAAAGGAAAAAAATGCATACAGTTCTTTTGCTTGTTTACATTATGATCAAGATATTTATTTTTCTATAGAGGAATACAAGTCATGGGGAATTGTAAACAGGGAAGATTTGAAATTTGTAAATGTATTACTTCCCTGCTTAAAAGATTTCTAGTACCCTTAATCATGGTTCAAAGATGCCTAAGGACCTACTAAAAATGGGAATCACTGCAGGGACACTGAAAACACAGAGAACAGTGTTATGCACTGCCAAGGACCCATTTTTAACAATGAAGCCAGGTTTAGATAGTTGCAGAAATAAAAAAAAAAAAAAAGATCTTGAGGAACAATTTGCTGAAAGCATAATGGAAAGCATTACATACTTTTTAAAGCCCAACAGGAGCATTAAGCCTGCCAGAAAGGCTTTAGGGATAATAGACCAGCTAAGTGTAAAGAGAATGTTCAAAGAGACAAGGCGCTAGCAAGAAATGTAAATGACTCACCAAATCAAAATGTAATGAAGAGTAGTTCTGGGAGGTTCGTGTGACTGAACCCCTTTTCAGTTTGAGTACATCAGAGATCTGTCTTAAATTGAATTACTTCTAGAAAATGTTTTTTAAAAATCTGCAAAAAGTGAACAGTGGCAAAAAAATGAGAAAGATGTTGTCTTTGCCTAGGACTCTCATGGGAATTTACTGAGTGGTAGACATGGATTTTTGGGGGAAGGGCAGCTTGGGTTTTTGCTTTGTATGATTTTGAAAATGGGGACAAGACTAGGGCATGCAAGGACATACCTCAAACTACGGATCAGCAAGACCCAATTCCATTCAACACAGTGATTATGAATTACACTGAAGAACAGAATTAACATATATGTAAATTAATGTAATGTACAGGGGAATAGTTGAGAGGGTTTCTGAAAAGAGAAATTGTAACTCACAGGAGGAACACTGACTATAAGAAAAAGGATGCTTGGCACATAGTCTTAGATTTCCAAAGGACTTTAACAAGTTTCTGTGTTAAAAGATTCTAAAGTAACTCAGTCTCCCTGGGATAACAAGGAAGGCCTTAAATAAATTAGAAGAATGGTTAAAACAGAACAGAAAAATTGTGAGCAAATGGTGAGGTTTCTCAATATGGATAGTCCCTAGAAATTTTCTCTACAAGTCTGTGGTCTTCAATGTGTTTGAGTGGCTCAATGTTTTCTCCACTACTCAGGATAGCAAAACCGAAATCCTGAGAAAAGGATTTCACAATGTGCAAAAGTGTCACAAATATGCAAAATCATAAGGCATGTAAGGATGATTATGCATATGACAGTTTCTGAACACAGTAACTGTACAGACCAGGGATCTTCAGTCAGGAAAATTCACTGTCAACGAGAGACAGAACAGAGCAGTGTGCAAATGAATAAAGAGCTTTCAGTTTCTCAAAACACAGAATGAAAAGGATATGAAATGACATAAATTAGTGCGAAGATGAAAGCAAGGTAAGGGGTTTGCTTTTCATACAACTCAAAATTAAATTGTGGAACTCTGCCATAGCATGTTGTGGATGGTACAAGTGTAAATGGGGTTAAAAATCAATCATATTAAAGGGAAGAAGAGCTGTCTCTCTCCCCAAATACAGATAGGCTGAACAAATACAATACAGTTGAAGCAAGGAGAATTGCTTTTCTCTGCACTGCTCAACCACTCTGGAACATAACACAGCATACCATGCCACACACTATAAACAGAATGAACTGGCCTTCCAACCTATGAGAGGGCTCAGAGAGTTCACTAATAGTTTATTGTTTACTTCCTTAGCAGACAAAGGCTTACACAAAGTTAAGACTTTAAAAAAGATATGTTATTACATGGCAAAAATATGGAATGTTATGTAACCATCTATGAGGTGGCATTTAAAGTCAACACAGTTCAAATGTGGCAAAGGGAAGATGTTTTCTGTGTGGAATAAGCACAGAGGATTACAATGAAGCTTTCTGGACCTAAAAAAGAAAAAAAACACCTTCAAGAACTGGATGTGAACACTCTCCTCCAAGTTAACTTTGTAGATTAAGAAAACAAGACTATTTGATATTTCACAAGGACTGGCAGATGTTATTCATATGGATTACAGACAATAGAACACACTTTCTCTTCCTCCTTTTCCAGCCACTCTGGCATAGAAATAAGTGTGATAGACTGCCAAGATAGACATACACTCAGCAGCCTGTTTTGCTGCCATCATTATAATAAAATATACCAGATAATCTTCGAAGATGTCTTGCCCTACTAAGCTTCATGTTTTAATTTTTAAAAGAGATGCTTGTTATTTTTCCCCAGCCTTTTGTAAGTAGTAAATAAAATAATTTTCAATTTAACAGGATGAAGGATCTGTTATAAATTTATTATGAACATAGACGGAAATAGTTAGAGGATTCTGAGCTGGAAACCAGAGACATTGTGATCAAGGTATTTATTTTATTATGGTTTATTATAATATTATATAAAATTTATGCAATATTATTATTTTATATATTATATAAATATTATTAATTTATTATAATTTATAATTTATTGTAACCTGTAAAATTGCCCCCCCGCCGAATGAACAATTGAACAGTGTTTTAATATTGGCTGCATAAATCAGCTTGTTAAAGCTGTGCTCCTTTTTTCTCCCTAAGCCTCATATGACTGTCTCAGTCATCCCATGCATGTGTTTCAACAAAAGTCCTCTTTCTCAGGATTGTAAAAATGAACAAACAAAATAGAAAACAAAAGAAATCAATAAATGCAAAGGGCAGATAGAATACGATTTTATGATAGCTACTGTGCCAAGTTAAGTTCATCCAAGATGCTGGTATAGGGAAGATTCACTATATCAACCTATGGTCCATTTTGCACACTGAAGAACAAATAGTTTGGAAATCAACATTTAGCTGCATATTTTCACAAAAACTCTATTGTATGAATATGTTAACAACCTGGTTTCCTTCCCATCACTACTGGCTGGCTGCCTAATAATTTCTCTTACGTTGATATATGTGCATATTTTGAAGGTAATGCACTCCTGTAAATCAATCTTAAAATTATTACTTCTTTGTTTTTTACCTATAACTACATTATAAACATTTTGGTCAAACAATTACTTACATTTTTCTGCTATGCTATCTCTACAAAAAAAAAACAATATCTTAGAGATATATAGGAATAAGAGATATTGACATGTATAATAAAAAATAAGTGGCTTTTATTCTTCTACTTGTGCGAACAGATACGTTTTGTGTTTAGCAGAACATTAAAATGTAGACTTCACATGTAGTTGAGTTCCCTTCCATTTGCAAAAATACATTAATATGCTGACAAACTGTAACACTTAAATTGCCTGAAAATGTCAGGGCCAGAGCAACACCAGAAATCTAGTTTAATAAAATTCACTATTCACAATCTATTCAGATATGTTTGACATATAGTAACCATGCTCTTTAAACGCCCTTTATACTTGACAAAAATGAGTACTGATACTTACCTTGTAGGAAAAGTTCACACATATATGCCAAATTATTTATTAACATCCCTTACTGACTAGCCCAAATTAAGCTGCTGCTAGATAGAATTAACCTAGAATGAGTTCCTAATGAAATGAACTTACCTGCTGTCAATTCACTACAGATTCATAAATAATATAATGAATTTTTTGTCTTATGATCCAAGCACTTTTTGAAAAGTATGATTAACTATAAAGAAAACAAAGAATAGCACAATCTTTCCTCATTTGTCTCCAGTCAAGATAAATGTTATGTATCTTAAATATTCTCACTATAGATATTACAGTGTACCAGAATACACTATTTAGGAGTCTTTCACATCTTTGTGATTCCTGAAATATGTCTGATTTTGGAGTCTGATTAGTAGAACTCTCTTCAATAGACTACAAAACTTTTTAAATGCAATATTTCAAACTTAAATAAAATAACTCAGGTGCACCATTTTGAATACACTAATAAAATTTTAACTTGTATTTACTAAAACCATGGTGAACCATTTGGAAATTGATAACTCAAAAAGCACCTCAACTTAGATAACAGCTTCTCCAGTTTTGTTTTCTGCTAGTGATTAGAATCATATGAAATAGTCATAATGAACTCTGTAATTAAGCAAGCCATAATCTCACTTCTGTATTTTCTTTAAATGTGCCATGAAAATTTGGCTAACCATCTCAGTTATAAGCTGCTTGAAGTCATCTGCAACTAAACTTCAATATCAATCCCACTAAAGAAAAATACGAAAATCAAAAGAAATATTTAAAAAAACCAAACCAAACCAAACAAAATCAAACCAAATAAGCCAAGCCAAGCCAAGCCAAGCCAAACCAAGCAAAAAACCCCATGTTTAATTTCCATGGGTGGTTGTGGTGGTAATGCTTCCCCCTAAAGAAGAATTTGGAATTTGTTCTTTAAAGATGTCATTTTAAAACCCATTTTCCTCTCTTAGATACTGAATTACATACAGCAGAAAAAAGAAATATACAGACTATCAAATTAGCAGTAAAACAATCAGAATGGGCTTATTCCAACAGGACAGTTCCAATTCTGCCTTTACATTTCACTTACTGAACACTGAAACTTGCCTGCATTCAAGGCAACACGCTATATATGGGCCATGTACTTTGTTCAAGCCCAAAAGTTTTCAAGACTTAGTTAAAAATTAACATTAGTGACTCAGACATCACCTTTCTAAAAAATGTTTCTTGCTGTCTTAATTTTTAAAAAATCAATTAATTAAACTTAAACCTAATTCATTTTTACTCTGGTAGTTCAAGAAAAATGGACAAGGCTTGTCTGGCTTATTTATAGCTCCTAATGAGAGAAAATGTACCTCACTTTGAGAAGTCCTGCTGAAGTAGACAGTGGCAAGGGAGTGTGTGTCTTTGATGTATCTACAATGTTCACTATTTCACTTCCTATACTCAGTTCATTTTTTAAATCACAAGCATTTTTATTGTTAGATAATGGAGTATATGTCAAAGATTTTAA